GTTTAGGGGTTAATTTTAGGTTTAGGGTTTACAGCGTGCTTCTGTCTCCGCGCTGTTGTCGCCCTGTTGATGACTCAGCGATGCGGTTTAGTCGGGCGCGGTTTAGTCGGGCACGGTTTTGTGGTGGAACCAATAATGCCACCTTAAAATTCCCGCATACCACTCTGGTTTTGAACAGAAATAACAATAAATATTACTAATCTTAACAATTTGTGCCATCAGATAAATGCTGATGAAAATACAAATGTATGCCAACAAATAGAAAACTACAGAAATGGAATATAATAGGGACAATAAAATTAGCTAAAGCAAGGGGAGGAAATGATTTGGCTTGCTTGAAAAGCTCAAGTTGTAACTTTAACTTCCCGAGTCTTTGCATAGATTAGAATAACTCATTTGGAGGCTTAAAAGTTATCTAAAAACGTTTTCCTCCCGAGAGCAAATTGTTACACAAAAGCTAATGGAAGGTTCATGCACCTGTTTAGGAATTTGGTCTAGGGCAGGAGTCTCCAGCATTGGTAACTTTAAGCCTGGAGGACTTCAACTCCCAGAAGTTCCCAGCCAGCTTTGCTGAAGTCCACCATGCTGAAAGTTGCCAAGGTTGGTCTAGGGCAACAGAGAGGTTTTAAGAAATATGCCAAAAACATTAAATCAATCAAATAAATGGCAAACAACAACCTTTACTCACCGAAGTTTAACGGTAAACTGTATCATCGTTTTAAGAACCAAAGGTCTCTGAGGATGAGTTGGCATGGAAGGCTGTCTCTCCACTATAAATGAACTAATGAGAAAGGAAATAAGTGACTGCAGTTCACAAACAATCCTGGTGAAATATTACAAAACTAACAGCTTCATACGTTCAAGATAACATGAGCAACTGAAACCCAGTTTTCAGAAAATTTCTTGCACAATGAAAATATCTCCATGACTGAGATGAAAGTGTATTAAATAATAGTTTCAGATACAGCCTCAGTTGAAAATGAAAATTAACTTATATACCTTTGGAAAAGACTGCAAATTAAAGCATTTATTATTTCCGACAAATGAGGTGTTTGTAAAGGAATGGGGTCTCCTTCGTAGGTGAGTTTTATCAAAAGTTCATTCAGCTTCTCCAGCTGCCTTCTTAGTTGAAAAAGACTGTCAGCCAACAGTGTGAAACTAAATAAACACAAAAAAGAGATACAAGTAATTAAACTTTGACTGGGGCTAGACCAGAACATTCTTTACTTTAACGGTGCCTCCCCTCCCGTAATGAAAGGCTACATGATGTTATGATGTTCAAGGGCAACAATGTTCTTTTGACACCTGCCACCGAGAATACCACAAGTACCGTTTTCCTTCCTGCTATGACAAAAAGGCCCACTTTTTAGCAAGCAATTTTCTGCTCTTTCATGACAGCTACTGAATTAGAATTCTTCTTATGGCGAATGATAAAACTAGACTTGCTCTCCCATCTATGCTTAGAAAAGTATTCAGGGCAACTTATGTCCAGCAATTCTCTGCTTCAAATGAAAACAGCCTTAATTCTGTTTTATCACAGGCACAATTCTGAAAGCAAGTCAATTTTGCTCAATTCTTAATTCATGTTCTTCTATAGCAGTCTTTCCCTAACCAACCCTTCAAGGAGAGATCTGCTTTTATTCTGAAGACCTAATGAAATTATGAGTGTCAATTTACAGTGTTATAGGAAGCTATTAATGTATATGTGCGTATGTGCTTTATTTGTGTAGTATTAACCTTTTGAGATACTTAAAATGATACATGAAAATGTAAAAAGTAGGCATTATTTCCTAACTGCATTGTTAAAAATCCAGAAATGTCTTTTGTCTGCCAGCCAGATGTATTTCTCAAAGCAATGCCAATATTGTAAAATTTAGTTGGAACAGCCTATCACAAAAGTGTTGTCTAGCTAGCTTGCATTGAAACGGCAGTGTAGAAATACAAACTACAGCTACACTCTTTTGTTGGAACTACAAATGTAGCCTAGAAATTGAAAGCTGAATTGCATTTGTTCTGCAGTCCAGTTCCAGAGACAACAAGTGACAAAGAGCATGATTGTTCCTTAAAACAGTACTCTCTGGGTTCATGGTTAAAACCTATCATCTGATGGGACCCAGAAAGCATGCTTTTTCTGTTGCTGTTCCTGCCCTCTGGAGCCTCTGAAATTTTTCACTCAGACCTTCAGCGTATCTGGATAGTGGGGTCCTTAAGCCTCACTTGCCTAAGCAATATTATTATTATGGTTTATCACACAATCATCCAGATGATTAGATGGGATTTGGCATGATTATGATGATTATTAGTTGCTTAGTCAACTAGATTATTATTCTGTATCACCCGGGATGGGCTGCTGCTGGTTTGCACGAGTTCAGGAGAACCTCTAGCTAAGAATCTGCCCAGTTTAGAGAACCCAAAAAGTCCACCCCTGGCTGGCCCTGCCCATCTAATAAAGAAAAGTGTTTCTATGTTGCGTGAATTTTTTGTCCCCAGAATGGTGTCTAAAAGCTATGAATTGCAATTTCCACAGAAGCTAGTTATAGTCTCAGAAGATAATTCCTGCATACAGAGAGGATATGTTCTACGCAACTCAGTGAATCTCTCTGTATTTTTACCCCTCAAAGGAGGAAATGCAAGGTTGTCTTTGTATTTAAGGATGCATTTCCATATTTGAGGTGCAGGGTTGTTTCCCCACAAAAAGAATTATTTGGCCCCTGTTCATAAATTTGTTTTTCTTGTTTACTTTTAATTTAAAAGTAGCTGGATTTGCTCCTTTCTTCCTCATATCTCTGAGCTCTCAAACAGAGGTAGACAT